TGCTCCTCAACCTCCTCCTGGCCTCATGACTCACCTATGAGAGAGTCATGACCCATTTTTTGGTCTTAATCCACTGTTTAAGAAACATTTTCTTAAAGGAATCAAGAATGCAGTAATAATTGTTGCGGAGGTTTGGTGAATCTTAGAAATGCAACCCTCCCAAATTTAACACCTGGCTTAAAAAAAAGCGCCTCTCAAAATTGCATGTGTCAGCCATACATCAGAAATCTCTCTCTCTCACGGGAATGGCAGTTGCATTAAACTGTGGAAAGAATTCCATTTTCCCAGCAATCTTAATTTGTGATTTGAATGCTGTAAAAAGACAGTTTCCCCAGAAGTGAGTATGGATTTCCTGGAAAATCAGTCTGTTACAGGAAAAAATGAATGGGAGTCTAACAAAATTTCATTCCAGCATAGGTTTTTATGGACAAAGCAGAAAAAAATCTGGTTAGTCTTTACAGTGCCACAAGTTTCCTGCTTACAAACCTACCACCCTAAATCAAATGTAGAGCCCAAAACATTTCTTGTAAAAGTACTGCTCAGCTTAGCTGACAGTAGCATGCCCAGCCACCATTTTGCTTCTATGAGGCCATAGTCATCTATGGAACTTTTAAAATCAGTCTTTATTTTAATCTTAAAGGGGTCTGTTTAAATGATGTTTACTTCCCAGTTCCAACGCTGGTGCATTTAAGAATTATTTGTCTTTATTATTGTTTCTTTATTCTCAGCTTGGAATGCAGTAGGTGTAATCACACTACAAATGCCCATGAAGCCACACTGGAAAATCACATCAAGTTTTCTGTATTTCAGACATTTTTACTGGATTCCAGTGTTCATTTGAGTAGACACTTTTTGTAGAATGTTTATTTATTTATGATATTTGAACATATATCTCAATAGTTCTTTCCCACAGTGCTCAAGACAGTTTACAATACAAACCCAAAACCAGCAATTTCATTAAAAATAATTGCATAATTATGTAATTTCATAAAAATCACCTAACACAGGCACAGGTTCAAATAATAAAGCAGATTTGTGCAGGGTGTGTGTGAGTGAGAGAGAGAGAGACTGTGCTTACCAGCAGTTTTCCATCTAAGCTGATTTAGTGTGCACTAGCTCACAGTTTTTTAGCCTCCGGCTCACACATTTTTGCCTTAGCTCAGGAAGGATGGCTCCAGAGCAAACTAATCGATGCAGTAGCCAAATTGCCTGCTCACAACTTTAGTGCCAGTCACTCACAAAGTTGATTTTTTGCTCACAAGACTCCACAGCTTAGAGGGATCATTGCTTACCAGTACTGAGTACCAGCACCTTTTCTTGGGCTCTCCCAAGTCCTGATCGCTGTGTGCTGGACTATCTCACTCAGCCAGAGAAAGAGAGATTGCACCCTCAGGAACAGCTTATTGGGGATCTGCAGCAGGAGAGGAAAATGGTAGAAATTGACATAACCTTATTAATGAATACTGGCACCTTTTTTCCCTACCCCCACACAAAAAAGCAGCCCTGGATATGTGTGTGCAGTTGTATCATGTATCTGAAAACTAAGACATCAGCTCCCATAATCAGTCTCTGAAAAAGTAGTTGTGAATGATGTGAATGGGTCTTTTATTGGTTAGTTAAGTAGGTTCCACTGTCAGACCTGTACCAACACAAATACTAGAAAGGAGTGAGTGGATGCCAGGTCAGTGTAATGCTAGGAGCTGTGGTCTTAGGGGAGCAGCACTCAGGCTAGTGCAGTCGTGCCAGTACAGCTGCACTATGCAAGGCCTGACATGTATCTAATATGGGCTGAAGGCAGCAAAGAGAAGCCAGTCCTCCAATTATCAATATAACCAGGCTTTCTCTTTCCATTGCTGAAACATAGCAGCTACAAAACATGCCTGCCAAGTGCTAAGGCCCACAGTCTAATCAGCCCTTATAATGTTACCCAAATTGGTCCTTGTGTCAGGCCTACCATGTACAGGGGGTCCTCTACATGTGTAGAATTTGACATGTGTTACAGGATAAAAAACAGAGATCATCCAGTCTAGTGTATACAAGGGCCCCAGTCTGACACAGTAGTCCCATTTAGGCAAAAGAGACCAGGAGAGAGGCAACAGTTAATAAACAAGCAACCTTTATTGCCCTATCAAGATACAGAGCTGGAAGGCAAAACATCAGGAAAGGAAAATGAAACAATACTGTAATACCACAATGTGCATATGGTAAATTGATAAGACAGTGTATATTTGAACAAATGCCTAATTAGGGGAAGATATGGGGGGCGGGGTGGAGAAGGCCAGCTTGCAGTGGGGCAAACTACTAGAACCAAAACCTGGGGAAAGTGGAACCTGAGAAAATGGGGGGGGGGGATCATACGTTGCCTGTCCTGCAAAGAAGAGTCTAGAGCTATCATGTAGGTGACATTGGAAGATAGTCCAGATGCCAAGCCAGCTCCAGGAAAGGGTCACTACGATTGCAGTAGGGGAAGAGGACTAGGTGCAGAACCAACCATAGAAAGGGAGAGCACGGTGTGCCTTCTATATACACTTAGTTTTACTTGGGCAGTTGATGGAGGCAGTACTTTGACAGGTCAATTTTTTTTTTCCCCTGACAGGTCAAATTCCATGCAAAGTTAGGATCCTTGGTAGGATTGGATTGAAGCTTGGGAACCTGAGCTTTCATTAATAAACTTTGGGTTGCATTGTGTTTGGGGCAGTATCAGGATCCAGACCCCTTTGGCTCAGGATCCAAGCTTGGGTTGTCATAGAACAGTTTAAGCTTTCAATTGCAAAGAGAGTGTCAGGAGAAAAGTTTTAGTGACTGAGTATGAGGGATATTAGGCGTGTTGTCAGCAACGATCAAGGGACGGCCTAGTGGCCCTCTCTGACTGTGTTCCTTTCTGCATTTGCCTGCCACTCCGGGTTTTCTCAGTGTTTGAGTCGAGGCCAATTTAAGTCCAGGGCAAAACAGCATCTAAATTACTCAGGGCAACAGCAGGCTGAAACCGGGCTGACCACTGAAGGGAGGTAATGTAATGCAAGAATGGAAGAAAAAACAGAATAAAAAGAAAGTTGAACTTGATTTTAGTGCAGAATGGGGGGAAATCTGAATTAAAACGGTTGAATTCAATTTTAGTGCAGAATTGCTTGGAGGACATCACAGTGAACATGGATTAAAAAGAGAGTGCAGAAAGGGCCTGTGTGACTGAGTATTCCGGGAGACTTGTATTGTGGAGAAGACGCTAAGAGCTACTGTTTTGCAAACCTGGGTCTTTGTCTTATGACCAAGGGAAGGGAAACCTCTGGAGGATTTGATGGAATCATTGACTAACGTGTTGTTGGAAGCATTCAGGCAGTTGGATACTTTCTTCAGAGAGTGTGTAAGGAAACGGGTACATTAAACTGAATATTTTATCCAGAGCTCTGGGATATAGAATTTCAGGTGTCCCCATGTGTGGCGGGATAGGATATAGGCAGGCACTCAAGACGTTCTTTTCCAGACACCATCTATGAAATGCTCTTACAGAGTCAGACCCAGACCCAGATCCCTCTCTATCAGCATTGGGTACAGAGAAGGTTTACACAAGAAATGTCAGACTATCAGACATCATAATTTGTGCTGCATAGGACCAAGATGCCCACGCAACTATGCGTCGTAAATTTATCCCACAGATTTTTCCTGAATCTAACAGTACAAAAGAATCAGAATGAGAGACTGTTCTCCTCCCACATAGAATTGCTTTCTTGTGATATGTCATAATATACCACAGTAGCCAATCCCGGGCATGCATCCTTGCACGCTAGACCATTTTGCTTCGGATGCAGGATCGATTCCCCACCCAAGGAGAGCCCCAGAGGTGCTAGCAGCTTCCTCTGAGTATGTCTGGCCAAGTGCAACTCTTATCTCTCCCCCCAGAAGCTGCCAGCCTTCAGGTGTGGCCTAGAGTTATCCCAGACCCATTTGTCTACTTGCCCTAGGGCTTTCGAGCTGCTGAGTGGGCGGGAGCTGGGACGAGGGCCGGGAGCTCACCCTGGCCGCGGTGGGACTCGAACAGCTTTGTGGCTGTTCAGAGATAGCTTACTGCAGGTCCTTTTACAGCCTGCACCACCGCTCCCTTGTTTCTTTTCATAATGCCCTCTTTGCAACAGCATTATCGAAAGTGGGCTGCCAGCTATTATGCGTGCAGGGTCAGCACACCAGAGATCCAAAGTCTGAGCAAGTGTTGCACTGGTGTGCTAATGTCACGTGTGTAGCTTCTTTGCATGCACTCTAGCAACAACAAGATGCTGGGTGCGAAGTCTCACAGGGAAGTCCTTTCTTTCCTGCTGTGTCACATTTAAACCAGGCCTTAAATAGCATGACAAAAGTAGCACTAATTCCTAATTCCACCAAAACTCTCTGGCTTCATTATTTTGAATAGGCACGAGTAAACATTCTTCTAGCAGCTCTTGCTTCTGGTAAACTTACACTGCCATCCTGAACAGAGTTACACCCTTCTTAAGCCCATGAACTTCAGTTGGCTGCTAAGTGTGTATCTCTGCTTAGGCTGGCACTGCAAATTAGTCTACATGTTGGTTCAGAAATAAAAGCAGTGGAAATCAGTCTGCTCTTGATTTAAGTCAGTCTACCCTGACCTTCTGAAGGCAGGTTATCAAAATATTTCAACAAAAATGTGTTTGACAGATCTTTATTTCAAAGTATAGTGTTGTCTGTGGTACTGGGAGTGTGGCAGTCATAAATGGAAAAAAAGTGGGGTATCTAAACATTTTAAAGATATGTTCAGATACTTTGAACTGTGCAAGGGTTAAGAGGGAGTCAGTCAATCATCAGTGGGAATGCCATTTGTTGATTTAAAGCACGCTGTAAATAATTGTTAGAAACTTGTCATGTGGAACAGCGCATTCAAAAAGCATGCCACAGCCTTACTTCCTCTCAAACTGTGTTTATCAGTCACCATCAGCAACTTAACTCTAATTTGCAGAGGGCAGGTAAACAGCAGATTCAACCACCCATCCAGCATGGAACGTGAAGAGTTCGGCAATATATATGAAAACATGGAGAGTGCTAGACTTTATGCACTTCCAAATTTGGAAGACCCAAAAGGGGAAGGAGTTTATGACCAGATTGAGGAAGACTCGCTGTCCCCTTCTCTGACTGTTACTCTAGATGGGGTGTTCGTAAACTGTACAAAGAGCCCAGAGAACAGCCACAGCAGCTCGGTCTCCTCTCAGCATGGGTATGATGGGGGAGAAGAGTCTGATTCTTCCCAGCAAGATGCTTCAGAAGACCAACAACACCAGGAGGATATTCAGCTGCTGAGCCCAAGAGAGGGTGACCAAAGTACAGCAAGAATGGCATTTGAAAACAAAGTCACGGCTTTGGCTGATTCCAGTCAAAAGAAGATCCAAGGCACATCCAAAAACTTCTCCACTACCATCAGGTTTCCACACTACAACTCAGAAGAAAACAACAACGTTCCGGAAGCGGATCATGAAATTTCCCTCATTGTCAAGGTAAGTGCAGATCGGTATAGCTGTGAAAAGCAAGAATGTGTGCTTTTGGATTTCTGACACCTTTGATTGCACCTGATGAAAGATTCTGTCTAACTCAAAAGCTGTAGCAGGTTGGTCCAATATGACTGCAAAATAGCAAGGTTCACTATTACAGTATAATCCTATGCAGAGTTATTCCAGTTGGTTTAGATTTCACTGGATTCAGGCTCGAGTAACTCTGTACTACTGGAGCTGCGGTGGCTCAAGTGGTTAAGACACTATACTGCAGGCTGTGGAAGGTCGGTAGTTCAGCAGTTCGAGACCCGAGTGTGCCGCGTGACAGAGTGAGCTCCCATCTCTAGTTCCAGCTCCTGCCAACCTAGCAGTTCGAAAGCAAGAAATTGCAAGTAGATAAATAGGTACCGCTTCAGTGGGAAGGTAACAGCGTTCCGTGCGCCTTGGTGTTTAGTCATGCCGGCCACATGACCATGGAAACGTCTTCGGACAGCGCTGGCTCTTCGGCTTTGAAACAGAGATGAGCACCACAACCCTAGAGTCGGATTCGACTGGCTTTCGAGCAAGGGAACCTTTACCTTTAACTCTGTACTGTACTGTTAGACTTACTGCTTGTTGTTAATGAACTTTTAAGGGCTACAGTCTGCATCATCCCTGTTGAAGTCAGACTGACGGCTATGAATACTCATACCATATGAACACCATGAACGTTCAAAACCTTTGGAGTTCATCCCCATGGCTGCCTGCAGAGTATTATTTATAACTAGCAGACTCCCATTCAGGTGTCTTGCCAGGAAGAACTGCTCAGCTTCAGCAGTAAATGTGGCACCATGGGCTTTCAGAATGGCTCAAGTATCTGAAAAGTAAGTTAGAAAACAAACTTTGGCCCTGCTTTTGCTTTTTAACTTACCTTTCAAGCAGAGGTCCATCAGTGGCTATTAGCCACAAAGTATAGATAGGGACTCTGGGGCAAGTGATGCTCTGTCTTCTTGGTGCTTGG